TGTCACCCAGGCTGGACTGCAGTGGTGGGATCATAGTTGACTGTAGCCTTGAAGTCCTGGGCTCAAGCAATCCTCCCCCTTCAGCCTCCTGAGTTGATGGGACTTCAGGCATGAGCCAGTGTTCCACGCTGTGACTCCTTTCATCTTTCGAACCAACAATGGCCAGTCAAGCCTGCATTACTCTGACACTGACTCTTCTGCTGCCCTTTTTCACTTATAAGGACCTTTGTGATTACATTGAGTCTACCTGGTTAATGTAAGACAATCTCCCCAATCTCAAAATCAGTTGATTAACAACCCTAGTTCTGTCTGCAACTTTAATTCTCCCTTGTCATGTAACATTACATATTCACAGGGTTTGGGAATCATGACATGGTCATCTTCAGGGGTGCATTATGAAAAGAAAGAGAAGAATTGAGTGGATTCCAAAGTTTTTGGCCTGAGGGATGGGGGGAAATTAAGCTTCCATTAACAGAGACGACCCAGAGCAGATTTAGGGCATCAGTGGTGAGACAGGCTGGGTGGGGACCGGGAACTGAGTGGGAGGAAACCAAGTACTTACAGTTTTTGACATAACTTTGAGATGCCTATAAAAATATCCAAGTGGAAGTGCAAAGGTAGTATCAGGGGTCCTCAAACTTTTTAAACGGGGCCAGTTCACTGTCCCTCAGACCGTTGGAGAGTGCGCACTGTGGGCCCGGGACGAGTCGGCTGCTAAGCAGGACAGGCAGCGGTGGCAAAAACACCCGTCAGACCGCATAAATGTCCTCGGCAGGCTGCATGTGGCCCATGGGGAGCACATGGGTAGTTTGAGGATCCCGGATAGATGGATGATTCTGAAATTTAGGGGAGTGGTCTGACCTAGAGATATAAATTTTTTATTCCTCAGCATGTAGATGTTATTTTAAAGCACAAGACTGAAAGAGATCACTTAGGACAAAGAGTATAGGTAGAAGAAAGAAGAGACCAAGGTCTGAATTCTGGGACACTCCAACTTCAAGAGCTTGGAGGAGTTTAGGGGAAACTGACAAAGAACCAGAGTAGCCAGTGAAGTAGGGTGGAAACCAGGTCTACTGGATTTCCAGATAGCATCAGAATGTCAAAGTATTCCTGGGTCAGAACATGACAAATGGTATATTCCAGCCAGTTGCTTTTGATAAATTATACTGGCTGGTTGGACTATTACCACACAAACATCCTGCTGTCAGAATTCACTCTGTATCCATTGGTAGTTCTATGTTTACTCTCTGTAATATTTGGCTCATATAATTATACTCATATAATACTTGCCTTATGAAGTTTAATGAGATACTATCGAGAATATATATTAATGCCATCTTTAGAGGGTTGTATATCTATGTAGGATCTGTATTAAATATGAGAGTTCAGAATGGAGCAAGAAATTTAGCTGCTTCCTTAAGCTACAGAAATGATAACTTGACAACTTTATATTCTTTTGAATATCCTCAGTTGTGACAAATTGCTTTCACTTTGAGTATGGATTTAACTTTTAAAAATATCCATAGTCACTTGTATATTGTTGAATAGAGTGAAAATTGATAAATCAATATAACATTCTAGAAGGTAATTTGGCATTATATACCAAAAGTCCTACATTTTTATATACACATTCATGGTAATAATTCTCCTGACAAGAATTTATTCTAAGGAGACAGTCTTAGATATGTGCAAAGATTTCTTTACGATATTGTTCATCATAGTGAAAAGTTGGAAGCAATCTAAATAGTAGAGTATTAGAAAAATAGCCTTTGGAATGGCCATTCAGCATAATACTATGGAGTCATTAATGCTTACTATTATAGAAAATACCAAATGAGATAGAAAAAAGTGAAAACAAGATATCAAACAAAACTTATTTGTAAACATATTTGCAAAGCTATATGTATACATATATATTTGAACATACATATACACAAAAGAAGGATATATTTGCAAATGTTAAAATTTATTCCTAGATAATGGAATTGGGAAACACTTTTTGTTCATCTGTTTTTTCTAAATGTTCTACAATGAACATATATTAATTTTTAAATAAGAAAAATAATAAATTTCAAAGAAGATAGAATCATGGATTCTTTAAACATGTTTGATGGTTAATGGGTAATTAAATAGTCTTTGTTCAGTAATAAAATTATCAAAGGAATTTTAAAATTATTCAGAACAATAGCAACAGCATTGAAATAAATTAATAACTTCTCAAAGAGAACAATTTGAAAGATAGCACTGATTTGGATTTGGAAGTTCTAGTAGTTTTTTGGAGGGGTGGGTATATTCTAAATTGAGCTTTAATTTACATAGTAAAATTTCCAAATCTTGTATCTTTGTAACCAACACCCAAATTGAAATGCAATTGGTATATTTGTCTGAAAAAGCAATCATTGTTTTTTTATTTACATATTATCATACCTTAAATAATTTCTTAAAACAATTTCGACCTTTCCAGGTACTTTCTCTTTGTTGGTACTTGGAGTTGTGTGGCTTGATCTCCTTAGCTCACAGAGTAATGGGGCCAAGTTACGAGCACTGCATGTAGCCCTTGATGCTATCCAGTCTGCCATGTTGGTTTTGCACAGTGTCTAGTTTATGGAAGGCTGAGAATGCTTTCTCTCCCAGCTAAAGAAGCAGTGTTTCTCTGGTTCCTGGTGGTGATTTTAGTAGAACAGGTCTGTCCTCTAGCAGGGCCAGAGCAATAGATCCTATGGAATTTCTACCAAGAAATTGCAGATTGGCTTTGTTCCCTACCTTCTATTTCTCTTGTCTTGTTTATTTTAAAAAATGATAATTTTTTTATCTTTTTGATAATTATTTCCCTTCTTTTGAACAACTTAAAGGATATGGGTTGTCAACAAATTGGATTTTCTGGATGCAGATTGGGAACGTGATAAATAAGAACTACTTTTTTGCCTTCGCAATGACCTCTGGTCGTCCAGCAATTTAAAGCCTCCTGGACCAGAGGGAGGGTTGGAACACCCTAACATATTCCTGAAACTGCTTCCCGTTACTGTCTTTCACCAGACTGTCCCGAACTGCCAGTGTCAACACTACTTGCACAAAACTTCAGAAATGAGAGTTTTCTTCAGTATTGAGCCCCTGGGAAACATCCTTTTTCTGCAGTAATTCCAGATACTTCCAACCAAAATTAACAGAGTGTCAGTCCCATGTTATTACTGGGCTTTTGTTTTTTGTTTCTTGTAATTGAAGCTTCCTATCAAAGACCTCCTGACAGTAGGCCTTGATTCCAGTAATCTCTGCAGCCAGAGAGCTTCTGGAACTTGAAATAACAACAGTTGACTTATAATAGGAGAGTTTATTGTGTTCCAGGCAATATGTTAAAGCTTTAATTTTTATAATAAACCAATGACAGTTGTAGGGATTATTTTGGCTATGTTTTGCAGATGAAGTAATTGAATCTAAGAAGTGGTATTTACAGATAGTAAATAATGGGGCTGGGGTTCCAACCCAGGTAATCTGACTGCAGTAGCTGGGCTTCTAAGTGATGTACTATATTTTCTCCTCAAATTGATCCCTGTTACTTATTTGTTCTTGAAGTTATTGTGTGTCATTGGTGTGCACTTGGCTCCTGAAACGTCCTACGGTCTTCTGTTCCTTGGTGTGCACTTCTCGAGAAAGCTAAGCCTAGCAGAATGCAGCCCACCAAGAGGGAAAGGAACTCCTGGTCATAAAGACCATCTTTGATCCTGCTGATAGTACCAAGGCTCCCGACACCCAGTATTGGTCGAGAACTGAGCACTGTGGCCTTTAGCAAACCCACACTGCCAAGACGTTTCCGATCCTTACTTTAGTTTCTATTGAATACGTGGCTGCAGTGATCCCAGGATTTTCTTCCAAGAGACCCTCTTTCCTGAGAACCATGAATGAACTCAGCCCACCACTGACCTCTCTCCCTTCATTGGAAACTGACTGCTCACTGTGAAATAACTGATAATCTCTGAATCAACGCTGATTTTGCTTGGAAGCAGGCTTTCTTGTATACAACCTGGCTATGGGCTTCATGAAGACATGGGTCGTGTCCATTTTATTTACTGTGATATTCTTGGCACCAACCAAAGAGTTAGGAACTGAGTAAATTCTTGTTTAATGATCAAATTATGTACTAGCATGTTCTCTGGTAGTGCTCTTAGGCCCTCAGGTGTGCCGCTGGAGACTGCAGAACAACCTCCAAGCAACTCAGTGGTACGACGCTCCCCTTATGAGCGTGTAAGTGGCCATTCTGCATCCACCTCATGGGAAAGGTCTGGGTTTAATGCTGTATTCCATAAGCCAGACCTTGTCCTGACCAGAGGCAGACACTTAGGAATCTGGAGGGTTATCAAATAAAGACAACTACACTTAAGAAGTGGTGGAGTGGAGATGCCCCAACATACAGGAGACTTTAAGAACTATACTGGAAGGAGAAGTGTTTTCTTTGACAAAGCTAGTGCAGCCGCCACATTTCCATCTTTGTCGCTTGATGTTGCTTTAAGATCTTGATATCTACCTCACTCAGTGGACTAGAGCTTATAACCCCTGCCCTGCTAGATTCTTGGTGTTTTCAGGCCACTTTATGAGATTTATCCTAACTTTGTACTCACAGTACTAGCTCCCAAATAATAAACAGCATTCTAGGTCTTTGTGCAGATTTTTATAGTATGCGCTTTGATTTCATTCTTATCCAGGAGTCCATGCTGCATGGATGAGTGTTTGTACAGTGTTTCGGGGATATATTGTTTGATTGTCCGTTTTGCCTACACACGCACTGCAACCTGCATTGTGGGATCAGATTATATCTGGCCAGGAGATAAAGTAATACAAAAACAATTAAAAAATAATCTTTCTTCAGTGTGACACCTCCTTTAATTTGTTGATGAAGCTGTTGTTATAAACTGTTAGTAAATACAGAATTCTTCATTCAGTTTAAACATAGGCAAATGTGTGTGTCTGATGCTGAGTGATCCCTCGTTTCTTTTTTATTTTTCTAGGCAAGAAAACTGATCAGTGATTTTGCCATTATCTTGTCCATTCTCATCTTTTGTGTGATAGATGCGCTGGTAGGTGTGGACACTCCAAAACTAATTGTGCCAAGTGAGTTCAAGGTGAGTGAATGTCTCTACTTTTTGGTCATTTCTGGAACTCTTTGGCTTTCTTTCCTTTCCCCTATTCTAGTTTATTGTGTCTCTTTCTGAATTAGTTTTACACAATTACCCATTTCTTTTTTTCAAAATTGGTCCCTTGTTAGGCTCATATACATGTTTAGTCTAATTTTTTCACTAAAATTAAATGCCAACGCTAGGATGAAATGTAATTTAAAAATAACTTATTTAATAATATTACAGACTCTGCCTTATATTTTTAGAATATTTTAAAAATATCCAAAGTATTTTCATATACTTTATCACCTTGATCCATATAATAATTCTAGGAAATACGAAATCATCATCATCCTAGGTTTATAAAGTTGAGATTGAAGCTCATAAAAATTAAGTAAAATGTACAAGATTATAGAACTACTAATGAGTTTTTTGCCTATTTTCTAGAACAATCCTCACTGTCTTCACTACTGAGAATCATACATATGCTAAGAAATATTAAGCTAACTACAGTTTCAATTTAATAACAATGAGGGAGGGGTATATATGTTACAACAAACATTATTTTCTGTATTGTCTGTGCTATCATATAATCATTAGCAAAGATAAATTCTCATTCATTCAATCATTAATTCATTTAAGTCAATATTTATTGAATGTTTGCTTTGAGTCAGGTTCTAGATGGGGAATTTGAAATGCATTGATAAATAAGACAAAGTTCTTTTTTTCCTTATGAATTCACAGCCCAGTAATGGTAGTAAAATATGGATTGATTCAGTGATGAAGTTATGAGCAAAGTGAGACAGAAGATGGAAATATTCTCAAAGGAGAAATGAGACTTTCTTGAGAAAGTCTCAAATCTGGAGAAAACAATTCATAGATAGTATTCTATTTTAGTTTCCTTATTTGTATTGTTTAAAGTAAGGAAAAACATAGGAAAATTTTTTTCTGTGGTAGATATATATGATCTGATCGAAAATAGATTGAGAACTGGAAAAATGACCATTTTTTTCAATTTTTTGTGATATTTCCAAGGGTTTAACCAGTTATTTTGGATACTTTTCCATATGTAAAACAAGATAGCAGAATGTTTCAATTAGTTCCACTTATAGTATAAAAACATTTGTAGCTTTTTATATATTATATTATGAAGCTATTATAATTTGGCAATAGTGGAAACAACTTCAGTATAATTGCTAGAACCCACAAACAAAAGTTATATTTTTTTTAAAAAAAATTCTTACCACCTCTTTATTAAGTATTACCTTTGGGATTTTCTTTTGGCTGCTCCTTAAACGTGTATCACTTTCTTCCATCTTGAATCCTTATCGTAAATCATCCCAAATCCACAAAATGGCATTGCCCTGTTTTCAACAGCTCATATTCTTTCTCTCCTTCTTTTAACATGTTGCCTTAAAAATAGCATCTTTGGGAAGGTTTTGGTAATAATCCTAATAATCCTAAATAATCCTAATTTTCCAGCCTATAATTGTTTTCTATTTTTCAATATGTTGGCTCTCTAAAACTAAGAATATGTCTTCCACATTGATTTTTCACCAAGTAGCACCTATTAGCTTGATAATTTTCTGATACATGTTCTGTCTCTCTCTTCCAAGCCAACAAGTCCAAACCGAGGTTGGTTCGTTCCACCGTTTGGAGGAAACCCCTGGTGGGTGTACCTTGCCGCTGCCATCCCTGCTTTGCTGGTCACCATTCTGATTTTCATGGACCAGCAAATCACAGCTGTGATTGTAAACAGGAAAGAACACAAGCTCAAAGTAAGTGTCCGCAGTAGGGGTTATCATTGCCTTCTACTTTGTGTTTAGCACTTGAAGCTACTGGTTCAAAACCAAGAGAGCTTTATCAGGAGTTACACTATAGCTAATGTCTTCTACGACTCAGCAAAATCACAGATCACCTGGAGTTGACACAGGTCCTCAATATAACACTGTAGGGAAGCTCATTTGAATCTGAAAAATTTTGTTTTAAATTATGTTTCTTTTTACCACCAAAGAGAGAATACAAGCACAGTTACTACTTAGCCATAGTCATCCTACATCTGATTTTAATGTGGTAACTGTCCGTAATAAAGACAATGACAATCAAATATTTAATTAATATAATATTAACTAAATTAATATTAATTAATCAAATATTTAATACTGAGCACCTGCTCTCTGTTAAACCAACTTAGATTTATTCTCAAAGATGATTCAGATAGTTCATGGTTATAAGCTAATGGTAAGAATTTATATTTCTCATCTTCAGCTATTTGTCTCAGTATGTTATTGACCATAAAGTATGGAGAAAAAGTTTATTTCGTATATTTTAGGTTTTCTAAAAATGTATTAAGTTTGTCGTGAGTTTAAAGAAAAATATGTTAGTGGTCTGGGCTATCTTTCAAGAAAGCTGCCTAAAATGTTCTTACTTTGTATAATGTGTCTTCGGCTCTAGTTATTTTTTGGGGAGAGTGGTCACAAAGGTTTTTATAAATTCTACTTGGGGAAGTGAGATATGAATAGTAGCAATAAGAGCTGTAATTTAGTGGACGCCTACTATGAGTTAGGCCATGTACTAAGTACTTTATATTATATATTAATTCATTAACTTTTTATAACCACCACCATATGAGGGAAGCATGAAAATGTTTTAGCATCAGTCACCTAGAAGTAGGAAAGGAAACTACTAAGAATGGAGTTTAGCACAGTAGGTTTAGCAAAAAGAAAAAATCCAGGAAATATAGAGAATTGGTTGACTATAGAAACCCACTGGGCAGAGGAATGAGAGAGATGAGGAAGATTCTGATAAATTGTCCCAGCAGAAAGAACTTGAAGACCTACAGATCACAGTGAGAAAGGGGTAAATCTCATAATAATAGGACCATGAGACCAAAAAAAAGAATTAAAAGCCTTGACTAAAAAGGAGATATTTAGGTTTTGAGTTTGGGAGGAGAGAAAGCTGAGAGTTATGAACTGGTCCCAAGTGTATGACTAGCTCCTGAAGAGTATTGGAGATGACTAACATCCATCAGAGCTAAGAGTTGGGGTGATGTGAGTCCAGCCTACGTCAATATTGACATCCTGGGAAGATGGCACAGAGTATGGTAGAGAGGAAACACATGGAGTAGTTGCTAAAATCATAATGGAAGGTACACACCTGTCCTGGAGGTCAGCATACTTACATGTGCTAGGACAGAATGAAGAACAGCTGGACTTCAGTAGAAGATAGTTCGTGGAACCATGAGAATAAGTGACGTATGCTTCCACCTAATATGCGAGTAAAGAGATAGACTCTCACTGAAGAACAGACATTTCCAGGGAACCATTGACACCAAAGCAAATACTGGTTTTGGGTCAGGATCAAAGAAAAGGTTGAGAATTCAGTTGGAAACTTCCATTAAAATGACTCTCCCTCCACCCCCAGCCGTGAGTAGTTACTGTGTTGCTCTGAGACACCTGTCTGAATTCTAAGATTGCTGAGCTTCTCACAGCCTGGTAATGTGGGGTTTTTTGCACTTGTCACATGGCAGCTGACTTCCAAGAATTAAGAAGTGGAAGATGTTAGGCCATTTAATGGTCACTCCACAATTGGCACAGCCTTACTGCTTTACTTTGCCTTAGTTGATTGGTCACAGTAGTCACTAGGACAGCCTGCGCCCAAGAGGGTGAGGAAGATCCACCTTTTGATGGTGGAATGGCAAGGTCACATTGTAGAAAACTATATGAGATAGGAGATACTTTTCTAGGTATTTTTAGAAAACAAAATCTGATATATTTGTACTTAAAAATTTGCCACAGTCTAGATCTTGGTGGTTGCTTCTCTAATGGTGTCATTTAGCATCTTCTTTGTTCTCTTTATTTCCTTTAAATTAGTCATTGGATCTAGAAGCTTGATGATGTATAGGTTTGATATTGTATATCTATTACACCATCTATGTATCTATCTATAGCTATATATATTTTTGGGGATGGGTGAGGGCCAAGACTAATTCATAATTCATATAATTCAATTTAATTCATAAAAGGCCAGGACCACTTTACACTACATTTTTTTGGCTTAGGATTTTCCAGGCCACAGAGATAATGTGAATTCCAGCCACGAACTCAATTGCAGGTTTGTGGTTAGAAATATCCTTAGAGAATTTTTTTTTTTTGGTCTTATACCCAGTGGCAAGCAAAGGCATGTGTTCCCACTGCCTTTTTCCATGGGATGTTTTTTCTTTTAATTGGCCATTTGAGTATACTGTGTTTAGACCATCCTAGTTTTATTTTGGCTGGTTTTCCCCATCTATACCTCTCCCTTATACCCCTAGGTTTCGTCTCCTGTCCCTAAAATTCAGACCCTGAGCCTTCAATGCTTGGTACTGTCTTTGAAGGCTGTCTCAGACTCCAGACTTTCTGACCCTGTGCATTTGCTCTTTCCTGTTGTTGTTGTGTTTTGTCTCCAGTTGTTCTTCTTACTTTCTGGCAGATAAGCCATGGTTTCTAGAAGATATTTTCTGTGTTTTGTTGAGCATGTTTAGATGTTCTATACTGGAAGAGTTTAGGTGTTGATTTAGTTTACCAAAAGGCTGGAAATAGATGTTGACTAATATATTTTTATTCTGAAAAAAATTTATAAACCAATTCTTAATTTTTATCTATGATTGGCCAGATTTGCTGTGTATCTTTGGGGACAAATGCCTACTATTTTTTGCTCATTAGGTTTTCTTACTGATAAAATTCAGAATTTAGAGTTTACCAAGCTTTGGATTGATAAAATATAGAAACTTTTTATTCCCATATTCTCTATAGAAAACGTTAGAAAATTAAGGTATATAAGGATTTACCTCTTAGAATAAGAGTTGAGTATATAAAAAGTAAGTTTTCATCACTTTTGGAATTTCCCATTTGCAATCATTCATTTGAATAATGATAGTTGTGGACTAAGTGCCAGTCCTTTGTCACAAATCTAATGATACCAGTGGACACTTCATTATGAATCAAAGGTTTTTTTCACTTTGGAAATTGTTTTGGTCACCTTTTTTTTTTTTTTTACAAGAGGAAAGCTGTGGAATGTGAAAATGGGAGATTCTGTCTAAAATTATAAAGGGCCTTAACTGCTATGAAATTGATTCAAAAGAAAAACCTGAAACAGCAAGAGAGATGAAGGCACTGTGATATTAACAACGGCATGTTTCGGGTGGCATTTGCTTTGGCTTCCTGTCCACTGGCCCTGGCTGTGTGCTCTGCTTGGGATGGGGGCCACCTTTCCGCTCTGCTGCATAGCTCTGTATTGATGTAGGAACACCAAGGCACTGGGCTTTTTTTGGCCGTCGTTTTGGTTAGTTATATCCTGCACTGTCCCTGCAGAGCACTCAAAAGCAAACCAGGGGCAATAAGGTGATGACTTCTCTAGGGTTATTCCATCAGTTATTAGCAGAGACAAGAACAGGGTCTAAGCTGCAGACTACAAGAGATCCTTCTCACTAGGAAAATTATTTCAAGAATGTTATAGATTGGGAGTAGGAGGGAGGATAGGTATAGAAAAATACATATTAGGTGGTTGTGACAACCAGTTTGCTCTAATGTATTTCGTGGTAAAACCCTCAAGTTGAGTGTATTTCTTTGGATAATTCCCAAATCCCTACTTTGCCCTGTTTTTATTTTTCCTTTCTATTCCTATTATGATAACCCTAGACCCAATTCTAGACTCTTCTGATGGTTTAGACATGAGTTAATAACCAGTCTTCCTTGTGTCATTCCAAAAGCATTAATTTTTTTAAAGTGCTATTCTTGTGTGTCAGGCCTGTATTTCCAAACCATCACACCTTGGCCCTCTAAACCTCTGCCACTTGAAAGCATGTCCATTTGCATTAGCCTGGGATTTAAGTCTCTTTGCCAGACGACCTCAACCTAAATTTAAAACCACTCCTTCCAAATGCTAGCCAATGCTCTAGTCAAATGAACTGTTAGTTTCTCAGATCTGACAGTTTCTTCTGCTAGGTCCACCAGCCAAAAGGCTCTTCTCCTCACTGCTCAATGATTGCTGTTTATCAAAATCCTCTAAGATAATCCAAATATAAAAACTTCTCAATGTAGCCTCCACCTCTAAGGTAGTTATTTTGCTTTGGTATATTTGCATTACTTTGGGGCACTGGTCACATGATGTCTTACCAGGAATTATGTTGTAGAATTACTTTATCCCCTTCTCTGGGCCAGAAGGTTTTCAAAGTGAGGACCATGTTTCATTCCTGTCTGCAGCTCTCATGGGGTCCACCACAGTTCCATATGGTGTGCTCAATAAATACATGTTGAAGAATTTTGTCATCGTTGGCCCGCGTGGTTCTCCGAGTTGTCACGCTGGGGGAGATGGCTGCCAACTGGGAAACATACAAACCCATCTCCAGTTCCCAACGTGAATGCGGAACTTGTTCACAGCCCTTTCCGATGTCAGGGAGTTTTTGTGGCTTCACTCTAGACATTAAGCATTTCTTCCTCTGTGCTTTCTGGTGTCTTTTCCAAACATATTTAGAGCGCGTTATAATGTGTGTTCAGATCTGAGTCCCCTCAGCCAACTGTGGTGCCCTTGGTGGGAGGTACTCTCTCATGGCTCTGGCTGTCCCCATATTATCTGGTTCCTGGGGGGCTCCTAGCGTGTGTGTTTGTTCTCGTCTCTGCACGGGTGTATGCTATTCCTGACCCCTGCTTTGTCACCATCGACAAACCAGATGTCAACTTTCGACTGCCAGACTAGTCTTTTTTCTTTTATAGATTTTGATTTCTATGGATTTATTCCT